CCCGTCTACGCGACAAAACCTCCAACCCCACCGTCCGGGGTATCTCTTCCTCCGACGTTTCCCGTCAACTAACCGTCTTGGACCCTGAACCCGAGAATCCATTTCGGCAACTCCTCGCCAAATACCCCGGCCTCACTCGTTCCAACTGCAGCGCTTCTATTCCACCACACGACTTTGTTCACCACACCTGAACCACTGTCCCCCCCGCATGATTTATCGGCCCCACCGTCTCGCGTCTGCACGTCTTGTCACCACAAAGGCCCAGTTCGTGCACATGCTTCAGATGAGCATCATTCGTCAATCTGAAAGTCCATGGGCCTCGCCCCTCCACCTGGTCCCCAAGGCCGTCGCTGGTGGCCGGCGCCCCTGCAGTGATTCCCGGGCTCGGAACAACGTTACTGTCTCGGACAACTACCCTGTCCCACATCTTAAGGATTTTGCCGATGCTCTATTGGACAAATCAGTGTTCTCGAAGATGGACCTGGTCCGTGCCTTCCTCCGAATACCCACCGCCTCAGAGGACGTTTCGAAGACGGCCATCACCACTCCCTTTGGCCTTTTCCTACGCATGCCGGTTGGACTCCGTAACGCCTCCCAGACCTTTCAAATGTCCGTAGACAAAGTGCATCGCGGCCTACCATTTGCCTATGCCTATATCGATGACTTTCTGGTGGCCAGCTCTATCACCGAAGAATACATGGAGCATCTTGCGATGGTATCTGACCGCCTTCGACAAGTTGACGTTGTTCTTAACCTGTCTACTTTCGTCTTTCGTTTGCCCTCTCTAAAATGTCTCGGTCATTTAGTTGACTTCAACGGCATCCATCCTCTTTTATATAGGGTTGCGGCTATACGTGATTTCCCACCTCCCTATTCCAAACGTCAGCTGCAACGATTTCTGAGCAGCCGGCTCCTCCCGCACTGTGCTGACACTACCCTGACGCTCACGAACCTCCTCTCGGGTCCCAAAGGTTCGTTCGAGCCACCTGCAGATGCCCTCGCTGCTTTTGACAAGATTAAGGCTGCTCTGGCCGACGCTACTCTCCTGACGTATTTTTCTCCCGATGCCCCCATCTCCCTCATGGTTGGCGCCTCCAATGTTGCAGTACGCGCGGTTCTCCAACAGCACCTTGCAGGCCACGCTCAACCCTTAGCTTTCTTCTCCAGGAAGTCATCATCTGCCGAGACGCGCAATAGCAAATTTGGGCGGAAACTCAGTTCTGTCTTCCTCGCCGTGAAACGCTTTCGGTACTTTCTTGGGGGCAGGGAGTTCACTGTGTCCACGAATCGCAAACCCCTCTTTTTCATTCCCAAGTCCACTTCTGTTAAGCTCAACCCGCGGGAAATTCGCCAACTGGACTACATCACGCAGTTTACGTCAGACATCCGCCACATCGACGGGCCGCACGATGAGGTGGCTGACGCACTGCTCAGGTCCTCCATTGCACATTTCCAATTTTCTTCCGGGGTGGACCCAACAAGATGGCTGCCGAACAACGCCGTGTTGGTTCTCCCTGTGACGGCGACGTTCCCGGACTCCAACTCCAGGACCTGCCGCTCACAACTGGCAACGGGACCTGCCGGTGCGACGTCTCCACCACTTTCCACCGTCCCTTTGTGCCGCTATCCCTCCGCCTAAAAGTCTTCTCCTCCCTAAACAACCTTTCTCATCCTGGGAGTCTAGCTACCAACAAGTTGGTTTCCGATTGCTTCGTCGGACCTGGGATGCACAAGGACCTCAAAGCATGGACAGGGGCGTGTCTCGGCTGTCAACAGAATAAGGGCCAACAGCAAACAAAGCTCCTATCGACACCTTTCGCACTCCAGGTGCACGGTTCAGTCAGGTTCAACTGGACATCGTAGGCCCCCTGCCTCTGTCCAAAGACTGTTCTTATCGCCTCACCTGCGTGAGCCGATTCACTCTGCGGCCGGTAGCTATCCCTCTGCAGGATCTCGCTGCCCTCACAGTCGTCAAGGCTTTCCTCAGTCGTTGGTTACCATTTTCGGTGCTCCCTCCACAAACCGTGGTGCCCAATTCCAATGATAATAATACTAATAACAATAATTTTTATTCAAGACCCGCTGGGGGTCCTTTCATAGCAAGCAAAAATAACTTTTACATTAATTTTAGAATTTTCGACGAGGTATACAGAATTTATACAATACTTAATTCATAGTTATTGAACAGGTTGTATGTTACGAAGAATGTTGAGCGAGCAGTGAAAAAAAAACTCATAACATAAAAAATGAGTATGACTGGATTAGAACTATAAGAGAAAAAATCTCTCACTCCTTAATATATAAAAAACAGGCAGGACCGGCCTGTATATGGCATTGTATAACGGATTTCATGAAGGGTTAAGTAAGCGGGTCAGGCAAGACTGACCTGCATGTGGTCTTGAGTAAAAGGTTCGGAACGTGCATCATCAAGTCAAAATTCATATGCCGGATGGATCCACTCATATCTAAGTTACGAATTGAAAATCCGTCTTGAGGCGATAGGAACCCAGATACGATCGGTTACATTCAGTCAAGTCCATCCGAGGAGGGGGCAGAGGAGATGCGACCAGACTAGTAGTGTATGGCAAATAGAGAAGGCCTCGCCAAGTGTGTCGATAGAGCGCATTCTGTGAGGGCACGATGCATGGACTGAAAAATCGAAAAATTAACATTTCTGATGAGGGATCCTAGGAAGCGATACGACTCACAAAAGAAGGAAATGTGGGCAGATACGGAAAGTTAATGGCGGCATACTAAATTCCCGGTGGCCCTTTCTCAGTGTCATAGAAAAAGTTGTCCGGGAAGAATGGGGAAAATAAAAGTTTAATCGAGTCAGTATTTAGGTAAAGGCGTAGCCTTCTCTTTAACGTGTGCAAATTATCTGAAGATCTTATATTTATTGAAAGGTTATTCCGGAGGAAAGTATATCTGGAGGCGAAAAAAAGGAGCGCTTAGAGGTGGAGGAAGCTGGAGGAGGTGTAATCAAGGAAGAGTCGCGAAGATTGCATGGGCGACTACTAGGGGTAATTGCTGAAATCCGAGGAAGTTTTGAACTATTGTTAATGCGAAAGGGGAGCCAAGAACCTGTTTCTAGCCTTCGAACCCACAAAAACCTTATGTCAGTTATCTGGCATCTATCTGATCAATTTATTTAAGATCTTCGGTAAGATGATGTGTCACTTAACTGAGAATAACCTACTGAGTGCTGCTCAACATGGTTTACTCAAAGTTCGGTCTTGTGAGACCTGTCAGCTCTCTTTCTTTGACTATGTTCTCTAATCTAGGGACAATTGTTTTTCACTTTACACAGTATATTTCGATTTCACTAAGGCTTTTGACCGTGTTGACCATGCTCTTCTTATCTTGCAACTGTCCTCTTTCGGAATAGGTGGCAAACTTTGGAATTTTATATTCTCTTGCCTGGGCTCTCGTACACAATGAGTTAAGACTTCCAATGCTACCTCCAACCCCACGTGCGTGAGGAGTGGATTTATTCAGGGTAGCGTACTCGGCCCGCTTTTATTTTACCTTTTTGTTAACGATGTGCCAGATTTATTTCAGAATGGTAAGCCCTACATGTACGCCGACAGACTGGCAGATCGTGACATCGCACTTGAGCTCCCAAAGAGCGACCTACTGGCCTTTGCCCAGTGGTGCCGCACATGGCGCCTTTATCTTTCTTGGCATAAATGCTCAGTCATGGTGTTTGGCGACGACCGCCAACCTCAACAAAGTATTGAAGGCCACGCCATAAATGTGCCTAGGGTTATTAATAATCTAGGTGTATCACGCTCAAGGAGCCTCAATCTTTCGGAGCACTGTGCCTTGATAGTCTCCAAAGCACGTAGAACGACCGGATTCATCCTCCGAAACTTTAAAACTAGGGACATTAGAATGCGCCTTTACGACATGTACGTTAGACCTGGCCGGGAATGCCTTTCGTTTTTATTTAGCCTGCTGAGCTGAAGAAGATAGAATCCGTCGAACATTTTTTCACAGAGAAAGTTGTAACCCCGGTACACCGAAATTTGTCTTACCAAGAACGTTGTCGGCTTATAGGCCTTGAGCCTATGTTGTTTCGTAGATTACAAAAGGACTATTTTTGCTATTTAAACTCTTATATAATAACACATTTAACCCACTCACCTCTTTAAGACATCATATCCACCCCCGACGTAACAGTTACCGTGAGGTCTTTGTATTTCTTCCTTTGGCACGTACTGTTAAATATCGTCGATTCCTTTCTGTAAATTCAATTGCTATTTGAAAAAAACTACCCAGGAATGTGAAAACTCTGCAAAATTACCCTTTATTTAATAGAGCTATTACTCGATTTTTGTATTCCGAAAAACTTCCACAATTTTTGAGTGCTGAATTCACTGATCGTCTATACCGTAGCTATGGCGTTTGCGGTCTCTGACCTTAATGGCCGGTCTCACCAGGGACAATTTCTTTAGCCAGCAGTGACAGCTGATCATCGGCGCCTCTGTTTGGACGAGCCCCAACTTCATGAAAGAAATTGGCGACCGATAAAATCCGTTGCAGTGCAACCCCTCCGTTCGTGACTGTCGGAATTTTGTGGTCAGCAGTTTTTTCGCCTCAGGCCGCCAAACTATAAAAAAACACCATCAAATTTATCTTTCTTCCCTTTTTGACAGAAATTTATTTCACTGCGGTCGGATTTGTGTTTAACGCGACTGGAAACGTCGGAGGAAGAGATACCCCGGACGGTGGGGTTGGAGGTTTTGTCGCGTAGACGGGACTGACGGCAGTCGACCAGAAGATCGAAAGCGGCAAGGGAGTCTGCGCCGAGAATGGCACAAGGGGCGTCAGCGGCGACGAAGACCCAGGGGAAAGACTCCGGAGGCCGATTTCTAGAAAAGAGGAGCGGGTGCCGAGGGTGGCAAGTGGCAAGGTGATGACGACCTGAGGGAAAAGGCCGGGATTGGACATCGCCGATCAGCTTCCGTGGGTAGAAGGACACTTAGCTGTGCACCAGTGTCGACAAAGAAACGCCTGCCATTCCGAATGTCGCAGACAAAAATGTGCGACCAGGGTTAGAGCTGCCGGGAAGATTGGCTGCACTGACCTTCGGGCTGACCCGTTCCACTCGTGTGCTCCGCCTGGAGATGGAAGAGCAGGAGGAGATGCAGCGACAGGCTTAAGCACCAAACGCGGTGTGATACCAGCAGGTGGCGGCTGTGTTTGGACAGGCTGAATGTGCCTACTGGATACGGATGGTGAACGGCTTCGGTTGGCTCTGAGATGAAAAATAAACTGTCCACTTCTGGAGAGAAGCTATATCATCGGCCAGTTTGGTAAGCCCGATCCCCAACCGCGAAAGGAGAAACGCAGGAGAAGCTAAGAGAGTTGAGAGTGCTGAATGTGACGGCTTGAAAGAACCGTGCATCTTCATAAGCCGTTCGGAAATTCGAGTAAGTTGTGCAGCCGAAAAGTTTCAAAACGGGTGTCAAAATATGTTTCAATTCCGGAAGAAAATTATCCATAATTAACGCCTGGCTCTATTGTACATTAGGAAAACGGAAGATTGCTGTTCGTAGGGAGTCGCAAATCTTCAAAATGGTACGAGCGACAAGACAAAGATTCTCAAATCAATCGTCAGGGAAGACTGGTTGGGTTGGACAACATTTACTGCTGAGGGAGTGCGTACACGAACACTTTACAAGCGGTCGCCACGAGCGGTCTCTCCAGGCAAGTCCTTTGTGTCCGCCGTTGGGGTGCCTAAACCCCAGCGCGCGTGTGCCCTTCGTTCTGCCTCAGTGTCGCCAGCCAATCAGGAAATGGGTAGCGTGGATTAGTCTCGATCGGTCGCGAGGCTAGTGACAAGCGTCGCGCGTTCCAGCAAGCGAATCGACAGGGAGCGTCAGGCGGACAGGAGGGCAGCATGACAAAGCAGCGACAAACTAAGAGACGCGGACTGCCACAGGGGCAGAACTTGGCTTTTGGGGCGTTCTCCTGTTCCGGCAAGCCCTATCCGTTGGATGACCTCATCGGTGACTGAAAGACATTGTCGTTAGCAGCATACATGCTCCACATGCGGAGAATGTCTGGATGACACGACTGACCAAGATACACATGAGCGCAAATAAGACGGTAAAAGTAATATGAGGTTTACTCTTCTAAATAACTCCTCCTTGATATCTAGAACTGACTTTTTAATTCCTAATAAAAAACAGGCCGTTTTTGGCGACCGAGACACACTGATGTTATAAGGGCTATCGAAATGACAATATGGTAACTTCGCAGTCCTTCTATTCAACTGCATTCGCTGACTGAAAAAGTCGACCCTGGCAGGATTCGAACCTGCAATCTTCTGATCCGAAGTCAGACGCCTTATCCATTAGGCCACAGGGCCACGCGCCAGAGTATCTCAATTATATACTAATAGGTAACAGAAAACATACCAGCTTTCACGCCGTAATTCCAGAAAGTCTTCTTCCTGAAAATATTAAAGGAAGTTAGCACGCCATGTCCACTGAATTCAGCAAATTGTGACAGCTGCGTTGTCAGCTGTCAGAGCTGAAGCAGGCAATAGAAGACCTGGAGGACATTTGAAATGCAAAATCTATTACTCGATTTTTGCATTCAGAAAAGCTTCCTCAAATTTTGGGTTCTGAA